CTCACCCCACCCCATACTCAGTCTGCTTGTCCTCTTCCTTTAGGTAAACGTTCCCGTGTGGCATTACTTAGCTTTTTAGTCATTGCCACTACATATGGGTGAAGTGGTATCTCTTTGCTTACTTTGCATTGTTATGTTTACTAATAATGAAGCATGTCTTCATGTACTTGCTAGCTTTTAAAATTCATTCTTTTGTAAATTGCCTGTTCATATTTTCCATTAGGACTGAAATCTTTTTCCTAAAACATGCAAGAATTCCTTGTAGTCTTGCTGGGTGTGGTGGTGCACGCCTGTAATCCCAGCAGCCTGGGAAGCTGAGGCAGGAGGAAGGCAAGTTCAAAGCTGGCCTCAGCAACTTAGTGATGCCCTGTCTCAAAATTTAAAAAGGGCTGGGGATATGGCTTAGTGGTTAAATGGCCCTGGGTTCAATCCTCAGTGAAGGAAGGAAGGAAGAGGGGGAGGGAGGGAATTTGGAATTCCTTGTAGTCTAGATGTCCTTTGTCCATTCTGGGAATGGCAGAAATTTTTTCCCAATCTGCCATCTCTTCTAACTATATTCTTTGTTGGCAGAAATCTGTTATTTCTTTGTGATCTAATCTCTCTTTTTGCTTTAGAATATGTATTCTTGGGCTGGGGGTATAGCTTAGAAAGAGAGCGACTCCCTAGCATACATGAGGCCATGGGTTTGATACTGAGAACTGAAAAAAAAAATTGTATTCTTGAAATTTTGTTTTAAAACAATTCCTCACCACCCTAGATCTTTTTTTAATATTTATTTTTTAGGTGTAGATGGACACAACACAATGTCTTTATTTTTATGTGGTGCTAAGGATCGAACTCGGGTCCCACCCATGCTAGGGGAGCACTCTACTGCTGAGCCACAATCCCAGCCCCCCACCCTAGATCTTGACAATGGTCTTTTATATATCTCTTATATTCTCTTCTAGTAACCTCACAGCTCTTTACATTAGATCTTTACTCTTGAATGTAAGGACCAACTCCCCACATACCATATACTGAGGCAGTTTTCCCAGCACTGTCTGCTACAGAATCCTTCCATTCCCCATAGAATGGTGTTGCATTTATGACGTCTGCATATATACTTAGGTCTGTCGCTCACACTCTTCTGCTCCACAGATCAATGTCTGTTGTATTCTCAAAGAGGGCTACACTATTTCTGTTAGTATCTTACATTCAAATTAGGAAAAGGAACTGTTTGTAAATATTGGGCAGACTACACGGGATCCTACCGGACCCCAGGGCTGGGCTAGTAATGAAGAAGAGGAGGGACATTGCCACCTCCAGCCTTCAGGGGAAGGGAGGAAGCAGCTATTAAAAAGGACAGAGAAGGCTGTAAGCAGAGGGTGCTGAGGTGCTGTGTCTTCCTTTGAGAGACACAGCCGTCTCTCAGGATGGACCCCGTAGGATTAGCCTGACTTTTACTCTGTTCCCTTCCTTGCATCTCCTGCTGCAGCACCCCATTGGCCCACCACCAGGAAGCAGAAAATAAGGGTGACAATGCCATAAAGATCATGCGACCTTGGCCCTGGGACCCCACACATTTTTATTTTTCTTTTTAATTGAGACTGGATCTTGTCTCAAACTTCAGGTTGGTCTCAAACTGGGCCCAAGCAATCCTCCTGCCTCTGCCTCCTAAGTAGCTAAGACTACAGGTACCCACCACCATGCCCAGTGGGCCCCCACATTTTAGGAGGCCCAGGAACTCCCTGCTTGTGTGTCCACTGTGTGACCTCCATTTGCACTCATACCCCAGTCTCCCACAAGCACTCAGGGCAGGCTGGTATATAGGTCAGCCTCCTGGAGCCCAGACAGGGTGGAAAAAGGGGAGGGGATCTGAGACACAAGGAGAGATGCCCAGCACAGTGACGCAGTGACACAGTCTATCGGGCATCTTCCTATCCTGGAAAGCAAACCCTGAGCCGCTACTTTAGGCATAGTGATCCGAGGAAGCGTCCTGGAGGAGGTGATTTCTAGGTGCAGCTTGAAGATCAGCACTGTGTGCTCCATCTCCTGCGTCTCCCCTCCCAGATGGTGCTTCAAGAGGCAGCTTGTGGACCTGGTGATGGAGGGCGTGTGGCAGGAGCTGCTGGACAGCGCCCAGATCGAGATCTGCGTGGCCGACTGGTGAGTGGAGTAGCAGTCTGTCCTGGAGCCACGGAGGTGAGCCACGGTGGTGGCGCAGCAAGACCTCAGTTCAGGCCTCCATCGGAGGTCAGGCTGGAAATGCACACTCTTCGGGTGAAGTGAGACTGTCGTAGTTGCACAGCCAGGGAGGGGCGGACCCTTGGTGAGCCCAAGGCACCGGCTATGCCCGCCTCCCCACCCTCTTCCCAGCAGACCCCTGGGTTGTTCACGAGTCCAGCAACTGGTCTGATGTCACCATCATCCCCAACTCTGCGTTGACCCTAAGGTCCAAGGCTTCTGAAAGACCGCGATGCCCTAAGAACTGACGTTCAGAGGAAGCACAGTTAGGGTGGGGACCTTGAGCGTACACGAGCTGCCTCCTTCCAGAGCACCCAGGTTCCCCGCACAGCACTCCGTCTCTTCCCTGGGGCTCCAGTTCTTTCTCCAGATCTTCGGGCTCCTCCCCTAGGTTGTGGCTGGGGCCCGGGACGTCACAGCCCACACACCCTAGTGTAGCCCCCCCCCCACACACACACACACACACACACACACGGCCCTCCAGGCTCCACTCCACTCCGGGGGCACCCAAGCTCCCCCCACGGAATCTGGCTCCATCCCAGGACCAGGCTCCGCCCCTGGAGATGCCCAAGCCGTGTAGGTGCGTAGGACCCTCATCTGGGTGCAGAGAAAACCAGCCTCAGCCTCCCTCCTTGATGCCCAACCCAGAAGGAGCTGGCTGGGTTGCAGGAGAATCAAGGCTCACTGCCACCCGGCAGGTGGGGCGCCCGAGAAAACTGCGGCTGCATCTACCGGCTTCGGGTCCGCCTCTTGGACATGTATGAAAACGAAGTGGTCAAGTTCTCAGCGTCCCCCAACCCGGTCCTTCAATGGACTGAGAGGAGCTGCCGACAGGTGGGTCCAGAGCGCCTTCCCCTCACCCTCGACCCCCTCCCTCCAAGGCCCACCCGTCCAACCTGTCACCCTGCGGGGCTTCCCTTCTCCGCTGTCATCGGCTGGACACCAGTAGTAATAGCTGACGGTTTCTGAACCTTTTTACATCACATCCCAGGCCTCGTTCCAGGATGTTTGCAGATGTATTAGCACAACAGCCTTCAACAAACATTGAGCACCTACTGTTTGCAGGGTACTATTAAGGTGAACCGCAGTCCTTACCCTGTGTGCTTGTCTTTTGTGCTGCTGGCCTCACTGCTGTCCCCCAGCAGGGCCCACAGGTGCCTGCTGGGTATTCGGGAGCACCTGCTGAGGCGACGAAGAGGCGAGCACAGGACCCCTCCTTCTCCTCCCGCAGGTCTCCCACGTCTTCACCAACTTTGGCAAGGGCATCCGCTACGTGTCTTTTGAGCAGTACGGGAGAGACATGCGTTCATGGGTAGGACACTACGGTGCCCTGGTGACCCACTCCACCGTGAGAATCAGGATCCGCCCGTCCTAGTGACCAGCCTGACCCCGCAGTCCAGACTGCACTGCCACCTGCTGGATGCTGTCAAAATCAAGGGTGGCTTCACATCCCAGAGCCAGAGGATACTCGGGGACAGTGGGGGTCCCGTGTGGCTGGTTCAGGGCACACCTCCCGTAACCCACTTGCTGCTGTTTCAGCATGGCGGTCCTCATGCTGTGTGACAAACCAGGGACCCAGGGGGCTCCTTAGAGCTTCCTCAGCTCCCCAGCTGGGGATGTCGTAAAAGTAACTGACATTTAGTTGGTTCATGTCTATAAATTATTTCCTCATGTGATGTCAGTGGGTAAACCATTCCCTGGTGACTGGTCTGCGTGTTTTGGGGTGGGCTGACTGCTGGCAGGGAGAGGAGGCCGTTCAGAGCATCTGACCTGGAGACCAGCAAAGACCTCAAAGAAATCCCATTGTGGTTTGGGGAGTCTCCGGGATCCAGCTGTGGGGCTGTGAACCCGCCACTGCTGAGCAATGTCCACCCCGCTGCCCATCAGCACCTCCCCTGGGGCCAGGTCCCTGCCCTCAGCTCCAGCCGGATCCACCCTCCTTCCCTGCACTCACACCATCTTGTATAGAGACTTCTTGAGCAAGGTGTGCCAGGAGCTCTTTCCTCATTTCCGGGCATGGTCAACCAACCAACCAGCTCAATAAAATTGGTGCTAAACATGAGGTAACAGGTGTTTTTTGTCTATAATCAGTATAATGGTTCATCTCCAGCTCTGGTCTTTTAAAGGACCCATAGTTTCATGTTTACAATCTTTGTGCATGCTTCTGGCACAAAGATGAGCTTCCAGAACCCAGAGGGCTACAGCTGAGTGGCTCCCAGTTCTGCCCTCAGGGGTCTTCCCAACAGCTCTCAGCAGGTGTCCTTATCAATGCCATTTAAATGACCTATTATTATAGCTCACCAGGCCAGTGCAGGGGAGGCCTGGGCTCCAGAGCCCAAGGACGAAAACACAACTCCCACAGCTTAAATTCAAAAATGGCCAGGCCTGCGATCCCATGAGTCGGTATCTTGCTGTCAATGCCATTTGGAAACAGAGGCCCAGAGGGGCGGCCGCTATAGGTTGAACCCAGGCGTGTGAGTCACTACATGGAGTCAGGCAGCACACCCCGTTTAATCCTTTTTCTTTTTTAAAGATGTAACTGGCTTTTGTTAGCAATTCATGAACCAGGCAGCATCCTGTCTACAGACCCAGCAAGATGCTCTGCTGAACTCTGAGGGGCTGTTAAACCCTTTCAGCACCCTTCAACCTCAATGAGTGGCTGCCAGTGCCCACGCTCGAGGGTGGGGCTGTCTGTGCCCTGCCCCTCGCTCGACCTGTGGGAAGGGTTTCAGTGCTGCCTATTTGACTTCAAAGCTTAGAACAGCCCTACACACATGCACTGTACACAGAGGCATGTAGTTTAATCTTCACCAAACGAAACGGAGGGGATACTGCAAATGGGATTATTTTTTGGAAGAGCAAACTGAGGCCCAGAAAGGATGGCAGCTGCCAGGGCCACAGTGAGAGGGCAAATGCTGCAGAAAGGTGGGGACGGTTTGCATCACAACCGTGGGGACCTGTGTGCTTCCCAGGTGATGGCAGAAGAGGCCCCACAGGCCAACTCTAAACACAGAAGCCAAGGGTGCTGACAGCACCCAGGGAACCTTATGGGCTATGGTGCTCCTGAAGGAAGAGGCAGAGCTGGGCTTTGAACCCAGGGCCGGCTGCCTCTAGAACAGGAAGAGCTGACTTTGAAGGACCCGCTGGAGATCCCACAAGGAACGTCCCTGTTCTGCAGGTGCCCAGGCCTCAGCGCACTGGCTGGTCACTTCTTCTTCTGCACGTGGCCACAGTCATACTTGCCCCGCACAACTTTGAGCTTAACTCCTGGCAGGTCTTGGGTGCGGCCACCCTGCACAAGGACAACGTGGTGCTCCTGCAGGTTGTGGCCCTCCCCGGGGATAAAGCAGACAGCCTCGCGGCCTGTGCTGAGCCGGACGCGGCAGCACTTGCGGTTGGCGGAGTTGGGCTTCTTGGGCTTGCGGATGAACGTGCGCAGAACAACGCCCTTCAGCTGCGGCCGGCCTTCCGTGGGGCCCAGGCGCAGGGGCGGGCGCTTTGGGGGCCCCAGACGGTGCATCTGGTTCAGTGTAGCCATGGGGCGGGTGGCACAGAGCTGGGGTACCAGGGCCAGGCCTGGAAAGATACAGCGGGGAGAGTGGAAAGGGGTTATCACCCCAGCACACAGATGACAGCATCCTAACTCCACGCTGGTGTCCTGGCATCCGCCCAAGCACTTTACCTGGCCACACTGGCTTACCTCTGGGGGCATTAGGGACAACAGAGATGACAGCTATTTACTGAGCAACCACCTCCCATGAGATTGTTTTAAGCATTTTACATAAATTAACTCATGATATTCTTCAAAAAAGGCGCTCACCTGAATGCTGCTTAGACATGGTGACACGGAGCACGAGCACTTACACCGTGTTGCAGGGACAGACACTTGTGCCATCACTGCCGCAGCCCTCTGGGTATTCCTGGAGGTGTTGTGACCCTCTTAAACCCCTGCCCAACCTGTGGGTACACCCTGGAAGTTCTGCCTTCACCTCAGGTCAGAACCCACCAGCTCTCTCCCTCCTGCCCGCGCCCATCTGAGTCTGCCCCAGCCTCGTCCTCAGCCTGGGCTAATCGCACCTCTCCCGCTCCCAGGTCTCCCTGCATCTTCAGCCTGTTCCTGAGCACACAACCAGGGGGAGTCACAATGCGAGTAGCTCATATCCCTCCCCTATTCAGATCCCTGCGGTGGCTCCATCGCCATCGGGGAAAGGTGACCCACAAGGTACAATCTGCCCATTACTTCTCTGCCCACTGGCTCATTTTCTCATGCTGCTCCAGCCACGTCCCCAACACCAACAAAGAGGAGACCATTGTGACTGTGATGTAGTCTAAGAAAAGGCAGGTGGTAGGGGAGGTAGATATATTTCCAATGAAGACCACCAGGATTTACTCATAGACTCGATGTAGGATATAAGAAGATTCAAAGACAACTGGCTTCTCAGAAACAAAATTTCACTGAGCACCTACTATGTCTTGGCCCCAATAATACAGACATAGCAGCAATGGGGAGCACTGGGCCCTGTGCAAGTTCTTGGGCTGAGGTTACAGTGTCATACATCTATCCACCTCCTCTTCCTCTCTGTCACTAGCATAGATACCCCATCAGCACCACAACTTCACACTACATATCCAGCAGGCCCTTGGCCTCTTGTCAACTCCCGTGTCTCCTTCTGTAAGAGTGACAGTAGAGGGCTGTGTAGCTCAGTGGCAGAGTGGCTTGCCTAGCTAGCACATGTGAGGCACTGGGCTTGATCCTCAGCACCATAGAAAAATAAATAAATAAAATAAAGGGAATATGTCCATCTATAACTAAAAAAAAAAAAAAGTGACAGCAGAATCCTCAAAAGGAATGAGTCATTTCTAGAAGTGATGAGTCCTTGAGCAAGATTCTTGGCCTGACAGTGCCTCGGTTTCCTCATCTGCTTCCTGGGCACTATGATCATGTCTCCCTCCTCAGTAGTGTGTATGAAACTACCACGAATCAATGCATTTCCAGCTAGCTCTGATTCCCAAGGCAGGGAGCAGGCCTGTCCTGCCCACCTTTGTGATCTTCGGGGAATGGCAAACAGAGGGGCTTAAGAAAAGTTGGCAGAGTAAATAGGTGAATGAAATGTCTCAGAGGGCAGGATGCCTGAGAAATTCCTTCAGTGCTTGGCACCTAGTAGGCTCAGGATAAACATCAATTGAATGAATGGCTAAAGGCCTTGCTTGGATGTCTAACCCATGAGAGGTATTTAATAATAACTTGCAGAAGGAACAAATAGAGTCAGGTGAACTTAAGTGAGAAGACATTGGCCACTTATTCTTCCCATTGGTACCAACGACTGAGCCTGGGGTGCTCAATTACTGAGCCACATCCCATCCCTTTTTATGTTTTATTCTGAGACAGGGTCTCAGTAAATTGCTCAGGGCCTCGCTAAATTGCTGAGGCTAGCTTTGTATTCAGGATCCTCCTGCCTCCGCCTTCCAAGTCTCTGGGCTTACAGGTGTATGCCTCAGCGCCCCAAATCGTAGCCAATTTCCTTGTTGTGCGATCTTATGTTGTTCTTAAACTAAGAAGGCTAGGACATCACTGGGCAATATAATCTAATGGGATCACCACTGCGTATATGGTCCTCAACGTCGTTATGCGGGGCATGACTGTAATAGTCATAGTAAACATCAGTGCATCTACCTCCCACCACCTCTTGCTCTTGCACCCACATCCCCCCCAGAAACGGACCAGGTACGAACTGATTTAAACTCACTGATTCCATCGGGGCTCTGACAGAGGTGCTCAAGTCCCAAGGAGGAGAACTCTGTCCCTGCAGCCCAAGCCCCCAACTTACCACGACTTAGGGCCATGTTGAGCCCACGGAGAAGATGTGACCAGGACATCCTGCCGCTTGGTGGGTCCCTGTGTTAGGGATTAAGAGACTCAGAGAGGAGGATAAAGTGGCCGTAGTCGCAAAAGGTGTCAGACTCTCCCAGTCCCGCTCTCAGAACCTAAGGAACCTCCTCTAAAGGTCTAACCACACAGCCAGAGTCCTTTCGCAAATTTAGCCTCGCTCTGACCAGGATCCCCGGGACCCAGACGCCCTCGTCCGCATGCAGAAGGAAAGGGGAAACTGGGCCGGGGAGGTTGGCAAGAGCTAAGGACTGCACTGACCTCACCGACCCTCGCACCGTCCGCAGACACGCTGAACAGTGCCTCAAGCCCTTTCCGGGTGCTACCGAGGCAGTGATTGGCTCATTCGTCCCTGGCGGGGTGGGGCTCAGACGATGATTGGACCACAGAAGAGTCTATCCCAGTCCACGTTCCCCATTGAACAGTTTTTAAGGCACTGGAAAGATAATCTCTTCCAGAGTCTGATTGGCTCATCCCGAGCAGTAGAGCTGCTTTTTAATTGGTGTAAATGCGGAGTGGGCGGGATAAAGAGTGTGTGACTCTTTGTTCCCAGTCCAAGATGGCTGCGTCCATGGCTCGGCGTTTGTGGCCTTTGTTGGCTCGTCGAGGGCTTCGGCCCCAGGGAAACTGTGTCTCCAGCCAGAACCCAAGGAGGAGTTTCGCTGCAGAGAAACCAGACCGGAACCTTCTGTACGAGCACGCGCGCGAGGGCTACAGCGCTCTCCCTCAGCTGGATATGGAGCCTCTGTGCGCATGCCCAGAAGAGGTCGCGCGTGCCCTGGACCTCCGCAAGGGGGAGCTGCGGCCGGCTGATCTGCCCGCGATCGTGAGTGCGCTTGCGCCAGCTGACTGGGCTTGCAAGACGTGCTTTCGGTGGCTAGGGGGCGCCGGGGGCAGCTATTTGCAGGAATTTTTAGTTTCTTTTCGAGTTTAGCCAGTATGTTGTGCTTGGCACTCACTTATGTGGCGCTTGTCCCTGCTATATGTTAAGACCTTACTATATGCCACAGATGCTTTCTGTGCCATCTTGCGTCTGTTTCGTAATGTGCACTGGGTTCCCACTGTGCTCTAGGAATTGACTATTACCAGGACCCTCTGTAGTCCAGCCTCTCGCCGGGCTTGCTCTAAGTCCGCAAAGAAAATTAGGAACGGGGTGTGAGTCAGATGGGGATGAGGGGTGAAGCTCTTGGAGAGAGCGAGGAACGAGCAGGTGAATAGAGTTTAAGAATGGACGCTTCCCTGGGCGCGGTGGTGCTCGCCTGCGATCCCCGCGGCTTGGAGGCAGGGGGATCAGGGGGATCGCTAGTTCAAAGCCAGCCTCAGCAGTTTAGCACGGTGCTAATCAACAAGACCCTATCTCAAAAACATAAACAGAGCTGTGTGACTCAGTGGTGAGTGCCCCTGGGTTTAGTCCCTGGTTCCAAACCAAAGAATGAATGAATGGTTTCATTGAGCAGGTGTTTTAAGAAGCGCCTACTGCGTTTCAGTGTTCCAGGCGTTGAGAAAAGGCGGTGAATAAATACTAACGTCACTCGCACTTGTATAACATTACATGCTAGGAAACTAGAACCAGGGTCACCGTATATCTAGAGGTGGGCTGAATATAATGAGGTCCCCAAGTCTTACCAGCCTTTCTTGGATTCTTTACTAGCCTGTTCTAAATGGTTTTTAGACTTTAGCCTCACTTAATTTTGCAACAGCCCTATGAACTAAGTGCTGTTATTTCCCTGATTACATCAGAGGGGAAACTAAGGCTCAGAGAGGTGAACTTGCCCAAGATCATGATGTTGGTAAGTGACAGAGTGGGAGGGAATTTTGTGTCGTGTTCTTCTTTTTTTTTTTTTTTTTGGTGGTGCTGGGGATCGAATCCAGGCCTTGTGCATGGGAGGCAAGCACTCTACCAACTGAGCTATATCCCCAGCTTCATCTTTTAAAAAATTTTTAGTTGTAGTTGGACACAGTACCTTTATTTTATTTTATATGTGGTGCTGAGGATCGAGCCCAATGCCTCACATGTGCTTGGTAAGCGCTCTACCACTGAGCTACAAGCCCAGCCCCAAACCTGTGTTGTGTTGACTCCAGAATCCAGTCTTTGCTCCATTATTCTCTCCCATGAGTAAGATGATCCGAGTTCAGTCTAGTTAAAGAAGTATTTCACATACAGTTATAAATACGTAATTATAATCTGTGATAAGTGCTGTGGAGGCAAAGTAGAGCATGTCTGAGAGGGCTCAGGAGGTGGGTGGCATTAGGTAAAGATTAGTGGATTGCGTGAGATCCAGAAATTGAGGGAACAGGTGTGTTCCAAGTGGAGGGACCAGTGTTTACAAGAGCCAATGCGTAATGGAAGGTAACTTAGAGTGTCACAATCTTTGGTAGGGTTTTCCAGTCTTTGTGGCCAAAAGTAAGAAATACATTTCACACACCCACAATTGAAACCAAAGTTTTCTGTTCTTAGCATGTGTGAAGAAATTTTTTTTTTTAATTCACTTTTGTTTTTAAAGTGATTGATTAAACCCTGCTATGATCTGGATGTGGTTTGTTTCCTCCAAAACTCATGGTGCAAATTGATCCTGAGTATAACAGCGTTAAGAGGTAGGGGGAACTTTCAGAGGCGATGACATTAAGGGGGATTAATACTTTTCCCTCCAGAATGGGTCAGTTATCTTGAGAGTAGTTTTTTTTTTTTTTTTTTTTTTTTTTGCCGGGGGAGAGGTACCTGGGATTGAATTTAGGGACACTCAACCACTAAGCCACATCCTCAGCCCTATTTTGTATTTTATTTAGAGATAGGGTCTCACTTAACTGCTTAGTGCCTCCCTGTTGCTGAGGCTCGCTTTGAACCGGTAATCCTCCCGTTTCAGCCTCCGGAGCGGCTGGGATTACAGGCGTGAGCCACTGAGCCTGACGTGAGAGTGGTTTTTTAAAATATTTTTTAGTTATCTATGGACACAATTTCTTTATTTTGCTTATTTATTTTTATGTGGTGCTGAGGATCAAACCCAATGCCTCACATGTGCGAGGCAGGCGCTCTACCGCTGAGCCCCAGCCCCAGACCTTGAGAGTGGTGTTTATAAAGACAGGCCACCGCTCCCGTTTGTCTCACACCCACTCGCCCTTCCACTTTCCTGCCAAGTTGTGCCACAGCTCAAGGCCCTCGACAGATGCTGTCATCTGATTTTGGACTTCCAGCCTCTGAAACCATGATCTGCTTTCTGTTATACATGACCTAGCCTCTGGTATTTTGTTATAAAAGCAGAAAGTGGACAGATGCCCTTTAGGATGGCTGTTTAAGAACAAAATAGGACTGGGGTGGAGCTCAGGGTAGAGAGAGCATTTTCCATTTCTCCATCATGGGGTGGGGGACAGAAAAATAAACATTGTCAAGAATTATGTTAGGAGGAATTAGAGTCCTCTACATCGCAGATAGAAGTGTAAAACAGTGAGCTGCCACGGTCCTGTTGCCAGTTTTCAAAAAGTTAATACAGAATTACCACGTGGTCCAGCCGTTCTACTTCTGGGTGATTATCCAAAAGAACTGAAAGCTCAGACACATATTTGTTCACTCGTGTTCACAGCAGCATTATTGGCAGGAGCAGTGAGGTAGAAGCAACTGAGTGTCCCTCCATGAACGAGTGAGAAAGGAAGTGAGACGTGCACGCGCTGTGGGATTTCACGCATCCTTAGAAAGGAAATCCTGACCCGTGCCACGGCCCAGGTGGTCCTTGAAGACGTTCTGCTCAGGACAAAAGGGCAACTGTTGCATTTTTTCCACTTCTGTGAAATACCTGGAATACCTCACAGAGACTGGGCCTGGGGTAGGGCTGGGCTGGGGAGTCCCTGTTCAAGGGTGACAGGGTTTCAGTTGGGAAAAATGGAGCCATTCTAGAGCTGGACGATGGCGATGGCACCTCCACAGTGTACTTAACGTCACTCAGCCGTACACTTCTAAATGGTAAAATGGTAAACTTTATGTCACGCACATCATACTGTGATTTTTTGGAGTGTTAGTTTAGAAACATAAATGTTAATTTACAACTCACTGCTGTAGTCTGGGATGCTGTAACAACACACAGACCTGGGGGCTTATATAAACAGATTTGTTTCTCAGTTTTGGAGACTGGAAAGTTCAAGGTCAAGGCACCAGCAGATTTGGTGTCTGGTTCGTAGATGTCATCTTCCACGTCCTCGTGGTGGGAGGGGAAGGAGCTTCTGTGATCCCTTTTACAAGGGCACTAACTGCGCTCCTCAGGACTTCCCAAAGGCCCCGCCTCTAATACCTTCACGTTGAGATTTAGGATTTTAGCATATTAATTTTGGGGGGCCGGGGACACAGTCTGGGTGCAGAGGTGCATGTCTGATCCCAGTGACTCAGAGGCTAAGGCTGGAGGACCCCAAGTTTGAGGCCAACCTGGGCAGCTTAGTGAGACCGGTCTCAAAATTTTTAAAAAGGGTGGTCATGTAGCTCAGCAGTAAATACCCCAGGGTCCAGTCCCCAGTAAGTACCAAAACCCAAAAAACTTGGATCAGGGGACACTGACGCGCAGTCCACACCCGTTACTCTGGGTCACTCCTTAAGCCTGGAATCGGTTTCTGCAGGGGTCGGCCTTTCTCCGGGTCCATGGTCTAGTCCAAGGGGAGTGAGCAAAAGAAAGTCCGGGGTGGGGTCTTATCTTTAGGGAGGTGACCCAAGAGTCACAGGCACGTCCATGTCTTGGTCACGTGGACAAGAGCAGCTGCCAGGGAGGATGGAGTTTGTCTTCGTTGGGGCGCCACGTGCCACCAAAACATCAGGAAAGGTTCTTCTGAGTGGGGGTGGGGAGAAAGGCTGCTGGGGACAGCGGGGGGGCTCTGCCTGGGAATACCACCGGGCCAGGTGACCAGCAGGGCGAGGCCGCAGAGAGGAGCCAGGGCTTCACCTTTTCCGTCCTGCGTCCACCCCCAGATTGCAGTGTGGCAGGAGCTGAGGCAGCTTCGAGAGCAGATCCGGAGCCTGGAGGCAGAGAAGGAGGCTGTGACAGAGGCCGTGCGGGCCCTGCTGGTGAGCATGGGCCCTGAGCGGGTGGGGAGCGGCAGTGAGGGTCCCTCCCAGTGCAGGCGCTTGAACCTGTGCACACGACAGCTTCACGGAACAGTGGCCAGGACCCGGCATCCCTAGGGTGACTTAGCAGCTCTTCCCTGTGCCCCCGCCAGGCCCTTGTCCCTCTGCACCCGCAGCGTCGGTGCCCTGCCTGCCCTCGGTCTCTGTCTCAGCTCCATGGTGGCTACCGCAGTGCGCCATCGCCTTGCTTGACTCCGCCAGGGGAGGAAACAGACTTCTCTGGCCTGATGCCTTTTCCAGGAGCAGGGAGACGGTTCCCTAAGCAGAGACCCCTCAGTCTCCTGGGCCAGGCCCCACCCCACACCCGTCATCAGCAGGGGGATGGAGGCCCTGCTGCCGGCCTAGGCTGCTCCGAGTCGGCCTCAGCTGGATGCACCATGGACTGCCTGGGGAGGGTCCAGTGGAGCAGGTTCCACGGGGAAGGGGAAAGCAGGAATCCTGGGTGAGGAAACCAAGAGGTTCTGCCACAGAGGGCTCCAAAACAACCTCAGGGCTGGGGCTGCAGCTCAGTGGTAGAGAGCACGAGGCCCGGGGTCCCGTCCCCCCATGGCAGACATTACAGAGCCTTCAGTGCGCACCAGGCACTGGCCGGTGCTGCCCAGATTCCTCATCCTGGCAGCAGCTCTGCGACAGGAACAGTGCCAGCCCAGGGTTTCATCTGGGGAGACTGAGACCCCAGAGGCAGATGTGCCTCAGTCCTGCAGTCAGGAATTGCAGAGGCCTCGCCCCCCAGGGATTCCGTCTCCCTGTGCAGGGCCCTGGGCTGTGCATGAGGCAGGTGGCCACGGACAGCGGAGCTCACTGCAGTGTTCAGGGAGAAGCTGCCCAGCTCCCTGCCAGGGAGGCCCTGCCATCGTCTCACGTCACAGATGGGGCGACTGAGGCCCAGAGAGGGCAAGAGATTGGCCTAAGGGCACAGCACTGGTGGGCACCTTGGCATTTAGACCCACACCTGTCTGATGCCCTCAGCTGCTCTGGATCATGGAAGGTTCAGAACATCCAAAGCCCTTGGGTGCAGGCCTCTGGGTCCACATTCTCAGACTTTTCCTTCCCTGAGCCTCAGTTTCCTCATCTCCAAATGGGGATCACGTTGCGCTGGCCTCACCGAGTGGCCGTGAGGTAAGGTCATGTGAGGCCTGTCACCCAGAGCCTGGCAGGAGGGGCAGGTGATAAATGCAGCTGCAGCCGGACGGTCACGTACACTGCAATGCCAGACGTTCAGGAAACTGAGGCAGGGGATCTCAAGTTTAAGGCCAGGCTTGGCAACTTAGCAAGAATCAAATAAAAAGTAAAAAGGGCTGGGGACGTGGCTCAGTGGTAGAGCCCCCCTGAGAAAACTAAGGTATGCCCCAAATGAAAACACATAAATAAACCACACAGCCGCAGGTGTGGTCACTGTCGCCTGGCCTCTGTGGCTTCCCAGCAGAAACAGGGGGAAGGCCCCAGCAGAGCAGTGACCGCAGAGCCTCGGATCCCGTGGCCTCGGCTGACCTTCACCCTGCGCGTTGATCCTGCTAATCCCCCATCTCTTTCCACCAGGTGAACCAGGACAGCAGCCAAGTGCAGCAGGTACCCAGGGTGTCCACCTTGGCCTGGTGGGTGGGCAGGGAGGCAGCAAGGTGGTAGTGGGAGAGCCGGCTCCTTGGCTCCTTCAGGTGTGGCTGCTGTGCCCAGCGTCGTCCCCTTGGGGAAGGGGACGAGGGGTCAGGCACACAGTCCTGGTGGCTCCAGTCAGGTCCTGGGGTCGGTCTCATGAGTTCATCTCAGGTCACATGTCCGTCTCTGAGCCTGTCCCGGTGGCCAGAGCAATAGGATGTCCCGGGGTCCAGATGTGAGCCTCGGCCCGGGAGCTGCCGTGTGGTGGGGGAGGTTCCTGAAAGGCAGCTCAGGATGCGGGGCCAGAAGAAGGGTCCCATAGACCCTGCGGGAGACTGAGGTCCATGGCTGGGGGCTCCACTCTGTCCGGGCTGACCCCCTTTCCCTCCTCAGGACCCTCAATACCAGGCTCTACGGGCACGTGGCCGGGAGATCCGGAAGAAGCTCGCGCCCCTGTACCCCAGGGGCACCCAGCTCGAGGAGCGGTTCTACGTGCGGGCGCTGAGGCTGCCCAACCAGACCCACCCAGACGCCGTGAGTGCCGTGCTGGGTGGCGGGGGAGGACCGGCCCCCAGGCCACCCGCCGCAACGACCTGTCTCCTTGCAGCCCATCGGGGATGAGAGCCAGGCCCGAGTGCTCCATGTAGTCGGAGAAAAGCCAGGTGGGCCAGGCCCCAGGCCCAGGGCGCTGTCTGGACCGGGCGCTTGTGGGGGCAGCACGTCTTCTGGTCTTGAGGGCTTGGGTGTCTGGGCAGTTGTCAGCTCCTTCCGCCTCCCCTCCCCCAGACCTACACCCCCTCCCCCTCCCCCTATCACCCCCTCCCCGCCTCTGCGCACTCCCCCTGCCTGATTCACTCTCCCTTCCTGTGCCTCCCTGTCCTTCCATGTCCCTGTTCCTCAGCTTTTCTCCCTGGGCCTCCCCCACTCTCCCCCCCCCCCCCCCCCCCCCCCCAGCCCTTCCCCGCCCTCCTCCACCCCTGCCCCCTCCCCCCGCTCTCCCCCATCCCCCTGCGTCCCACCCAGCTGGTCTCCCCCCTTCCTTCCCTGGCCTCCCCCCTCCCCTCCTCGCCCTTTCTCCGCCCGCTCTCCCCCCTCCCCAGACCCTCCTCCTCCTCCCCCTCCCTTCCCCCTCACCCCTCTACTTTCCACCCACATCCAGCTTTCTCCTTCCAACCCCGGGGCCACCTGGAAATTGGCGAGAAGCTCGACATCATCCGTCAGAAGTGAGGCCCTGTCCCCATACCTGCTGTCCCCACCTGGCAGCTGGCAGCCACTCCTGCCCTGGGCTCTGCGTGCATGAGAAAGGGCCGGGGCCCTGCCCAGCATGAATGTTTGATGCCAGCCCTGCCTGGCAGCTGGCCTCGCCCAGGTGCCGAGCCCCTCCCCACCAGCCCTGGCCCATGTGCACCCGCTTGTCTTTTGTCCCCCAGGCGCCTGTCCCACGTGTCCGGCCACCGCTCCTATTACCTCCGCGGGGCAGGGGCCCTTCTGCAGCACGGTCTGGTCAACTTCACCCTCAACAAGCTGGTCCGCCGGGTACGGGCCAGGAGGGGAGGGCCACCTGGGGGGGCTCAGGGTGCCCGGCAACAGTCGCTGTTCTGGGAGCCCTCTTGCACTTGGACAGACTTGATTCCTGTGATAACCTAACGAGGCGAGTGCTGTCATCCCGCGTTAGAGACGGGAGGTCGAGGCCTGGAGCGGGGAGGCCCGGGGAGGCCATGTGAGGCCGGGACTGCTGGGCACGGAGCTGGCTCCCGGCTGCGCTGTAGCCCCGCCCCTCGCTGCCCGGTGTATGTGGAGGGTTTGGGGAGCCTGGGGCAGCGGGCTGATTGCAGGGGTGTTGGCTCTGGCGAGGGACTGGCCCTCTCCTGAGGGCACTGGGGAGGGCACAGTCAGATCTGTGCTTGTGAATGACAGCTCCAGCCGCCCCGTGTGGGACCACGAGGGGGAAGTGGAGCTGAAGGGACTGCAGCCGAGAGCCCCAGCACGGGGACGCCCAGGCCCAGGCCCCTGCTCAGGCCTTCAGCTGTTCCCTGCAGTGGGGTGGGCTTGGGGGTGGCAAGGGGTGCCACCGGCTCACTCTGCAATGTCCCTCCTCTGGACTGAGCTTGGGTCCTGATGCGATTACCACCCCCACAGGGCTTCACCCCCATGACGGTGCCAGACCTTCTCCGAGGAGCCGTGTTCGTGAGTGAAGCCCTGGGTGCAGGCCCTGTGTGGGGGACCCGAGGCAGGGGGACCTGAGGCAGGGGGACCAGCAGCCCCCCTGAGGATAGTGCCCAGGGCTGAGTCGAGGGGGTCAGGCCGTAACTGGGAGGCCAGGGTGATTCCCGATGCTTCTGTGGGGGACCAGGGGCTATGACTTGGGACTAGGGGAGACCCAGGTTGCCTGACCCCATGGCCTTCCCCCAGGAAGGCTGTGGGATGACGCCAAATGCCACCCCGTCCCAAATTTACAACATTGACCCCTCCCGCTTCGAAGACCTCAACTTGGCTGGCACGGCCGAGGTCGGGCTCGCAGGTGAGCGCCCACTCAGATGGAGCGGTGAGGAATGGCAGGATTGTCAGGGAACACACAGTGATGGGGGAAGCTTGCCCAGGACAAGGGCCAACATGTACAATTGTGTAGGTTGTTTACTGCTCAACAGTGACAGTCCAGCCACATACTCTGACCTGGCGTTGTTTCCAGAGGAATGCCTTTCTGAATGTCACCCTGTGGGCAGCAGCAGCCTCAGCTGACCCCATCCTGCCCCCTTCTCCTCCCAGGTTACTTCATGGACCACACTGTGGCTGTCAGGGACCTGCCAGTCAGGTGACACTCAGTTCCTTTAGACCCTACCCAACCTGTGACGTTCACTCTGTCCTGCCTGGTCTGAACGCACCTGTTCCCCACCAGGATGGTCTGTTCCAGCACCTGTTACCGGGCCGAGACGGACACGGGGAAGGAGCCCCGGGGGCTGTACCGCGTGCACCACTTCACCAAGGTCGGCACAGCTGGCGCTGGCTGGCAGGGGTGTCCCCCACCCACCCCTGGCCTCCTGACCCCTGTGCCCTCCCTGCCCCAGGTGGAGATGTTTGGAGTGACAGGCCCCGGGCTGGAGCAGAGCTCGCAGCTGCTGGAGGACTTCCTGTCCCTTCAGGTGGAGATCTTGACGGAGCTGGGCTTGCACTTCCGGTGCGGAGAGGGCCACTTGGGGGGTGGCCAAGGGCGGGGCTGAGGAGGACAAGGACCTGCTAGGTGCTCCCCCATCTGGTGCCTCCTTTGCCTCCTTTTTCCCGAATGAGGCTTACAGGACCACGTCCAGGATGTCTGTCTGTCACTGTCGTCCTTCCCGGGAGCAGACGCGGCCTGGCTGCTCCCGTCCCCAGGGCCCTGCCTCCATTGCAGGCCCAGGACGCCTCTTTCTCTCCAGTGGAAAGCAGGCAGGAAAGGGAGGACCCAGGCGTCACTGTCCCCGCGTCCCTAAAGCTGAGAAAGGCACTTTTTTCCGGGTGACCTTATAGAGCTGGGTGCTCCTGGTGCTCCTGGTGCTCCTGGTGCTCCTGCGGCCTTCTCTCCCTCCACCAGTCCCCCGCCCCGCCCTCCTCCTGTGCCACCCTCTCCCACACCACTGCCCACCCCTTCCCCTCTGCCACTGTCTGTCCTCCGTGGCCTCCGCTGCTCCCCTCAGCCGCAGCCTTCCTCAGGCCTTGCCCTTGGCCGCAGGGTCCTGGACATGCCCACCCAGGAGCTGGGCCTTCCCGCCTACCGCAAGTTCGACATCGAGGCCTGGATGCCCGGCCGAGGCCGCTTTGGGGAGGTGAGCCCTCAGGCGGGCGCGGGAGGACAGGCCAGCCCCTGTGGCCACCTTCTCAGCCCCCTCCCACCCCCAGGTCTCCAGCGCCTCCAACTGCACTGACTTCCAGAGCCGCCGCCTCCACATCATGTTCCGCACCGAGGCCGGGGAGCTGCGGTTCGCGCACACCGTGAGGGCCGCCCGCCCAGAGCCTCCCCAGAGCTTCCCCAGCGGCCTCCCGGGGCCCAGGGTGTCCAAGGGGGTCAGGGGTCGGGGCGAGGGGCTGGGACCTGAGCCCTCTCTCCCCAGGTGAACGCCACGGCCTGCGCGGTGCCGCGCCTCCTCATCGCCCTCCTGGAGAGCAACCAGCAGAAGGTGTGGGTCCAGCCCGAGCGCCAGGGAGGGGGCCGGCTGGGCAGGGCAGTGTCCTGAGGCCTCCTCTGTCCCCAGGATGGCTCTGTCCTCGTGCCCCCTGCGCTCCAGCCCTACCTCGGCACCGATCGGATCACGGCCCCCACCCACGTGCCTCTCCAGTACATTGGTCCCAACCAACCCCGGAAGCCCAGAGACCCTGGCCAGGCGGCCTCCAGCTGAGAACGTCGCACACCAGCGGTTGTCACTGCTGCCTGGGCTGCAGAGGCCTGGCCCAGGGACCTGTTTTCCTGAACCCTCCTGACGGCTGAGTCACTCACACCCCGGCTCCAGGCTTGACCCTCCCCTGCCCGCCCTCTCTGAGTCCCTGGGTGACCTGTTGCTCCTGGGGCCCGCAGCAGGAGGCAGGATGGCTGGGACGGGAGGAGGACGGACAGACTTCTGTCCTCCATCTCCTTTCCTCCCTCGTGCTGGGCAGAAGGTCCTCAATAAATGGTCAGAACAGGGACCTCTGTGCGGCTGTGAGCAGGGGCAGAGCCTGGGCCACCCGGGAGGCGCTGGGCAACGGCAGGGGGTCCCAGCCGACATGGGGGGGGGTCTGTGGCTGTGAGGACTGGGCTGGCAGCATCCAGCAACCCCAGACCACAGGCAGGTGCCCCGGGCCCCCAGGAGCTTCGAGGAGGCCGAGCTCGTCCCTGCCCCCCAGGGCAGGCCTCTGCTGGCCGCTGGAACTCACCTCGCTTCACCCCTGTCCCCTGCTCCAGCATCGACCCTGAGGTTTCCTCAGCAGTTTTTCCCACGTCCCTGTCGAGCTCATCAGTGACCTTGGCAGTCCACCTTCAGAGTCTTGCCACAGCCTGTCATGCCCTCTCCTCCCTGCCCTCTGCCAGTCCTGCTGACCAGTGTCTCCTCCTTGGATCATCACAGAAGCCGGCTGTCTCCTTGACTCCCTGTGAACCCCCAAGTCAGGGCCTGCCCCTCCCTCCCCAGAGCCCCCACGGCTCCATCAGAGTAAAGGACAAAGTTGTCATGGCCCCACGACTGCTCTGTCATTCACTGCAGTGTTCTCTCCTTCCCTACGTAACCTGTGTGTATGTCCTCGTCACCCCCTCGGGACTGGGGTGTTGGCCAGATTGTTCACTGCTGTGGCCCCAGGGCCCAGGAGGGGAGCTGGCCTGTAGAAGGTGCTCAATAAAACTGAGTGGACTGGTGTGCAGACCCTGCAGTCCCCCGCGCTGGGCACTGCCGTACGTGCCATACACACTATTTCACCCTCACCAGCAAGCTGTGGAGTGGGTTGTCACCAACCTTGTTTTATAAACAGAAATGCCAGAAGTTAAGCCATTGTCCCTGGGCTGTCTGTCTGGCAAGTGGCAGGACTGGGACCCAGGCCAGAGCCCAACTGCGGCCTCTTGAGCCAGTGAGGTTCCTTCCCAGATGAGGAGGATGGTTGCCGAGGTGGGTCTGTGAGTGGCTGTCCCTGGACTCAACCCAGGGCCTCCTCCCGCTGGGGCCCGGAAGAAGCAGCCCCTGTGTCCTGTGTCCCGAAGAAGAGCACACAGCGCTCGAGGCCTGGAAGCTGGGGGTGGGGGTGTGCAAGGCAGGTCCCCATGAATAATTGAGGGTCTGGGGTAGGCGGGCTGCTCCACAGCTGTCCCTGTGCCGCAGGCTGGGAGGGGCGGAGCAGGGTCACTCCCCTCCCTGCGGGGAGCTGCGCTGGTTATAAGGCTCGGGCACCTGGCCCTACAACCAGGGGCCGGGGACACGCGCCCAGCCCAGCCTGCCTCCACCATGCTCCTGCTGACACTGCCCCCGCTGCTGGCACTGCTGCTGGGCCCTGGTGAGCGCCAGCATCCCAGGGGTCAGGGGGTGGGTGGCCTTGGCGCTGGCCCAGGGAGTGGGGCCTGGGGTGGTGACCCCAGCGGTTCCGACTGGACTGCGGGTGGGGACGGTGCACCCGGCAGGCGGGCTAGGGAGGGTGAGGTGGCCGGGAAGCTGGTCAGTACCCAGGACAGCATCACCCTTCTTCACAGCCACGGCTGCTCCCCTGGCACCAAGGCCCTCCAAGGAGGAGGTGAGACGTGTGGTGTGGACCCCCCATCCTTCTGGGTTCCCCCCCTCCCAGCCTTCTCCACGTCCCCACTGCCCCCGTCCCTCCAGTCACTCTCCTCTCCGCCTCCGCTGCCCTCCACCTCCCCCCTGACACCTTGCCCCATCCCCAGCTGACCCGCTGTCTGGCAGAGGTGGTCACAGAGGTGCTGACCCTGGGCCAGGTCCAGAGAGGACCCTGCACAGCTCTTCTCCACAGAGGTAAGGAGGCCCGGGTCCCCCGGAGCCCGCTTCACCCCACCAGGGCTCTGCCTGGGTCCTCCCGTCCAGGGCTCCCATCTGGCCGAGCCTGGCCTGGTCACCCTGCAGGCTTCCTGCAGAGGGATGGGCTGGGCCAGAGAGCCCTGCAGCTGGCCCCTCTCCCCGTCCTGGACAGTCCCCCTGTGGGTTTCCCGGTGTGCGGCACAGAGAGCACCGTCTCTTTCTGCCAGAGATGTGTGACACAGAGCCCTACGGCTGCCTGTCACCTGAGGAGAAAGCCTTGCTGGGTGGGGACTTCAAGAAGCGGGAGGCTGGAAAGACACGGAGCAGCCAGGAGGTGAGGGAGGAGGAAGAGGAGGAGGCGGCCGAGAGGAGCCACAGGTCCGAGGTCCAGGAGCAGCTGCACAGCCGGCTCCGGCAGGAGGAGGAGGAGGAGAAGGAGGAGGAGGAGAAGGAGGAGGAGGAGGAGAGCGGCCCCGTGGAGACCTTCGAGGACCTGTGGAAGCACCATCTGGAGGGCGGAGGGGGCCCCCAGAGGCAGGTGACAGAGAAGGCCAGTGACGAGGAGACGGCCCAGTTCAAGGCAGAGGAGAAAGGGCTGAAGATGCTGGGTGGGCACCGCAGCCTATGGCAGGGGGCCAAGGCGGGCAGAGGAGAGGGGCACAGGGACCTGCCGCGCCACCATCACCAGCAGCAGCCGCCGCCAAGCCCTGGGGCCAAGCAGGAAGAGGCTTCAGAGAGGGAGGTGAGTGCTGAAGGGGGGGGTCTCCAAGACAGGTCACCAAACAAGCTGCTAGTGCTGGGCCACATGGCAAGACCCACCACATGGCAAGACCCACCGCCAGACGTGGTGGCCCTGCCTGTCATCTCAGCCGCTCGGGAGGCTGAGGCAGGAGGATCCGGGTTCAAAGCCAGCCTTAGCCATGGCGAGGCGCTAAGCACCTCAGTGACTCCTGTCCCTAAATAAAATACAAAACAGGGCTGGGACGTGGCTCGGTGGCTGAGGGCCCCGAGTTCAATCCCTGGCACCAAACAAAACACAACAAATGAGTGACCAGGACGACACCCAAGCAAGGCCTCCGTTGGGCCACAGTGGCTCCCCTGAGACCACAGTTACCAGAAGGGCCACCATGATTCCCCTGAGGCACTTCAGTTAACCGTCACTGCCAGTCCACAATGCGCAAGCCGGCCACATGAAAGCCGCTGCATATCTGGGCTAGAGGGGGACACCGTTGCCGCGTCACCATGCTTAGTGGTAGTAACCAAAATGGCCATCATATCCCAAATGGGTCACCCAAATCAGGCGCCTTTGCCAGTCCTGTGGCTGCTCCTGTTGGCTGTGACAGTCCACATGGACCTCCCTACTGGTCACGTTGGCCAACCTCTCTTCTGGGGTTGTGTCACCAAGATGGGATGTGGCAACAACTGGGATGACCACAGTGGCCCGTCATCGTGAGCAGAGACAGGGCCTCCATTTACAGGTGACCACTGAGGTGGCCTGCCTGTGACTCCCGGTGTCTGGTCCCACCAGGAGCACGACCTGGAGCGGCTGGAGCACGTGTGGGAGGAGCTGCAGAAGGCCGCTGCCATGCTGGGGGAGGGGGTCAGGAGGGAGGGCTGACCCTGGCTCATGCCCCCAGCACACCCAATGGCTTAGGACTGTTGGCCCCAAGCCCCCACCTCACCTGGCACTCCACTCCAGCCCCCACCATGATGGGGGGCAGGGTGTGCTCTGAACCAATCCTGAGGGGACAAGTCCAAGCCGGGCGGGGTCTGGGCCGTCTCAGCTCAGGACCCCCCCCAGCCAGCTGGCCCACTGCCACCTCCGAGTGAATAAAGCACAGAGAAAACCACCTCGCCTGGCGTGTGGCACTGCACCCTGACGGCCGGCCGGGAGTGACAGGACAGCAGTCTGGTCGCTGGTTGTCAGAATTGAGGTTTTATTAAATCAGAAATTATATTAACACAAAAAATCAGACGGGGTCGGGGTCGGCAGGAAGAGGTTTGGACGCTGGGGTGGGAGGTGGCCGGTTTTGGCCCCGGCCACTGTGGACCACGATGTCGTCGTATTCATCCTGGGGGTAGAGGGGGTGGCAGAGGGGCTCAGGCAGCTGCCACCTTGCCCACTGCCCAAGTCACAGTACCCTAAGAACTGGGTCTTGGCTGGAAGCCGGGTTCCCTTGCTCCTGGCTCTCAAAGCACTACTTAGGTCATGGCTCCCAGGTGCGTGTCTCCCGCCACTGCCACTGGCGCTCTGGCCCAGCAGCTGCTCAGCACTGAGGCCTCCCCACGCCCCCTGCCTTCACACACTCCTTCAACCCCCCCATTCCTGCTGTCTCTCGCTCGAGGCCGTGTCTGCTGCCGTGTTCCCCAACCCAAGGCCTCGCTCCTCACTGCGACTGAGGTCTTCCCCCCTCTGCCAGTGTTCCCAGGGCTGCCCAAGGTCACCTGCCCACAGCCAAGCTCTCCAACTCCTGTTCTCCAGACTCACTCCCACGCTGCCATCGACCCCTGTGCATGTCACTATCACTGCCACCCAAACCTTTTCCCAAGTTCGACTTCTGCAGCTGCCTAACTTTCCAACCTTGGCTGCCCACATTCTTCCCGCCGCCCCCTCCATCTGTCCTGCTTGATGCCCGCAGCCCCCGCGCGGCTGCCCGACCGAGTTCCTTGATAGCGGCCCGAGGCTGGTGTATGCCCTGCCTAACTACCTCCTCCCCGCCTCCAGTGCCAGTTTACCCTGACCCCCCAGCTGGGCTGCCCCGTGTCCCTCCTGACTCACGCCCTCATCCCTGCTGTCACTGTCGCTGTCACTACTGCTGCTGCAGGGGCTGGACTTGTCGTCCTCATCCTCAGGCTCGGGGGCTCCATGTGCACGGAGGAGGCGGGCGAGAATGGGGTTGGGTCGGAGGAGGGCACTGCCCAGGGGGGTGCGACCCCCATACATGCGGGCGGCAGGGTCGGCACCTGCCCTCAGGAGGATCTCCAGCACCTCGGTGGCTTGTGCTTCCACTGCCAAGTGCAGCGGGCTCCGGCCACACGTGGGCTCCTGTGGGGTGTGGCAGAGAGGTCAGAGGCCCCAGGAGGAGAAGCCTGGGCCCAACCATCGGATCCTCCCCTGCACACCTGCCCTGCACAGCAGCTCACCAGTTTGTTGACGTCAGCTCCTGCATCCCGGAGTAGCCGAACCATCTCTGAGTCTCTGTGGATGACAGCCACGTGGAGCGGGGTGTGGCCTGGGAACAGAGCAGCTGGTGTGAGACGATGGGTGAGGGGCCCAGCTCCCCAGTGCCGTGAAGCTGGGGGTCCAAGAAGGGTCATGTTTGGGGTCTGGCTCCTGAATTCCTTCCCAGGCACGGCGGGTGGATCCTGAGTGCCAGGCAGGCTAAGCGTGTGGGCAGGTGCCATTCCTGGGCTGTAGGATGTCTGGGGCCTGTGGGTGAAGAGCCTGGGATCCTGAGCTGTGGGCCCCAGATGTTGAGGCCTGGAGACCTGAGCCTGTCGTCTTATTTCACAAAGGACCTGGGTAGCTGAAGGGCCTGGGATCCAGGCTCAGCTGAACAGTGGTTCCTAAGTGACCTGGTCAGCCTGATCCCAGGAAGCTGAGCTTATAGATGGGGGAGCTGAGACACTCAGATGCCAGGAACCTTGGCAGACAAGTTCCTTCCCCATGAGGCCTGGCTGGGGTGGGCTGCCCCAGTAAGCTGCTGCCCATGGCTGGGAACCCAGATGCCATAACTGCACAAAGACTGGGTTTTGAATCCCCAAGTCCTGGCTGGGCTGGGGCCTGAGGCTTGTAGGTAGAAACAGGGATCCTGGATGGATGCACCATGAAGGTGAGAAGCCTGGGTCCAACCACTGGATCCTGGAAGCTCTGGGTGGCAGGTTTGGGTCCCAAGCTACCTGAGACCATTAGATGGAGGTCCTAAGTCCTATATGCCCAATCCTCAATGATCTGGGGCCTGAATGGTTGCAAGGCCGGGGTTCCTGAGGCCTAGGGATGATGATCCAAGGGGCTGGGTCTCAGGCCAGGAAAGCTGAGCCCAAGGCCTGGGACCCTCTCCTGCCTGGGAGCCGGCCTCCTTCCTGCGGGGATGCTCACCCTCAGGGATGCTCATTCTCTGGGATGCTTACACTCAGGGGATTCTCACCCTCGGGGGATGCTCACTCCGGGGTGGGGGATGCTCACACCTTGGAGATGCTCACCCTCGGGGATGCTCACCCTCGGGAGATGTTCACCCTGCGGGGATGCTCACCCTCAGGGATGCTCACCCTCGTAGTTCTCGGCTTCCAACTGCAGCTTCCAGTCCTCTTCACTCTCCTCCTCCTCCTCCTTCTCCAAGTCGGTTTCAGAGCATAAGGCAACGGGGGTGTGGCTGGGGTTCGAGGTGTGGTCGGGGCTTTCTGCGAGGTAGGTGTCGGGGGCTTCTCGGGGGAGCTGCGGGCGGGGCTGGAGCAACGCGCGTGCGCAGCCATGTGCCCGCATGCGGCAGGCCAGATGCAGGGCCGTGTGGCCCGCGCGCTCTGCCACTAGCAACCTGGCGCCGGCTGCATACAACTTCTCTACCGTGGACGCCTCCCCAAGGATGGCTGCCAGGTGCAAGGCTGTCTACAGGGGCACAGAGCAGAAGTTAAGATCACACCGGGAACCCTGGTCCCCGTGCCCTACATGGTCCCCAGTGGCTCACTTGGCCTAGGTCATTCTGCAGGTCCAAGTACTCTGTGCCCGCGGAGAAGCCCAGGAGGAAATCCAAGAAGGGCTCATGCTGATGAATCACCGCCAAGTGCAGTGCCCTGGGGAGAAAGACAGGGGTCAGAGGGCAGAGGTCAAGTGCTCTTGTATTCCTTCACTTAACAAACATGGCGCACTCACTGTATACTAGGCATGGTGACCAGAAATAGCTCTGGAAATAGTTGTCGGATGTCTGGGAGGATCCCAAAGGGATCCCAATCCAAAAGGATTAGAGGAAAGTACCCATCATTTACTCAGGGCCAGCAAAAGGGCCCATTCCTACCAGGCCAAAACCTCATGATTAACAGGACACTGAGGAGACTACTCAGGATGGTCTTGCCTCAAGGTGGGGATAATAAGCCCTAGATGCAGAACTGTTTGGCACCCACCTAACAAATCATAAAAGCAAAACTCAAAGGGATCACACTGCTTCCAGTAACTTAACTGCACCCCAGAACAATACTCGGGAATATTTGCAGGAATACCAAACTAACAGCCCAAAAAGTAAAATTCACAATGTCTGGAATCTAACCAAAAATTATCAGGCATGTGAAGAGACAGGAAAACATAATCCATCACGAGAACCATCAATCAACCCAGAAATGACACAGCTATTAGAATTAGCAAAGAACATTAAAATAACTGTAACTTTATTCCATATGTTCAAAAAATTCACTAGAGATAAAGATAATAATTTAAATTGAATTCCTAGAAATAAAAACTACAGCATCAGAAATAAAAAACACACTGGATGGGATTAACAACAGATAACAGATAACAACAGCAGAAGAAAAGATTAATGAACTTGAAGACAGGGTGAAAATAATCCAGAATTAAACAGAGAAAAAAACTTAGAGAGAGAGAGAATAGCATTCATGAGTTATGGGACAACTTCAAGAAGTCTTGTACACATGTAATTTAGGTCCCCAAAAGAAGAGGGAGACAGAAAAAATATTTTAAGAAATTATAGCTGGGACTGGGGATGTGGCTCAAGCGGTAGCACGCTCGCCTGGAGTGCGTGCGACCCGGGTTCAATCCTCAGCACCACATACAAACAAAGATGTTGTGTCCGCCGAAAACTAGAAAATAAATATTGAAAAATTCTCTCTCTCACACTCTCTTAAAAAAAAAAAAAAGAAATTATAGCTGGAAATTTTCCAAATTTGATAAAAACCACAGGCCCAACAAGCACATGAATCCCAAGGACATAAAGAAAATAAGATTTGTCTTATTTTTTATTTTGCTTATATCATAAGCAAATTATTCAAAACCAGTAATAAAGACAGAAACCTTGGGCTGGGGTTGTGGCTCCATGGTAGAGTGCTTGCCTAGCATGTGTGAGGCACTGGGTTCGATCCTCAGCACTACATATAAATAAAATGAATGAAATAAAGGTCCATCAACAAATAATAAAAATTTAAAAAAAGACAAAACTTTTTCAAACCAGTCAGAGAAAAAAGGCACCATAAGTTCAGAGGCATAAAAATAAAGATGATAGAAGATTTCACATAGGAAATGCACAAGAAGACACAACGGAGACACCCCTTTCAAGTTCAGGAAAACAGACGTCAACCAGGGATTCATTACCCAGCAAAAATATCTTTCAGAAACAAATACAGGTGACAAGGGCTGGGGGTGGAGGGTACTCAGTGATAAAGCACTTGCCTAGCACGTGCAAGACCCTGGGTTTAAACCCAGCAGTGGGAAAAAAAGACAAAGATGTTTTGAGATATACAAAGGCTAAAGGCATTAATCACCAGCACACCCATGCTGCAAGAAAAGTTCAAGGAAATCGCAAGCAAAAGAAAAATTATATCAAGTAGAAATAATTGATCTACAAAGGAATAAAGTAACCCTGAAAATGGTAACTATATGGGTGTGTTTTTTTCCTAATATGTAAATATCTCTTTAAAGATACTTTAAAAATAATATCCATGTATGATGGGGTTTATAGTAAGATGTATGACAAGAATGGCATAAAGACCAAGAGGGGATTTTTTTTGGAGGTGCTAGGGATTGGATCCAGGGCCTCACGAATGTTGCACCGTGCAACTCAGCTACCTCAGCCATTCTAAGGTTCTTTCCCTCATTCGAGGTAGCACAGGACTGCTTGAAGGGACACTGATAAGATCATACATTATAAACCTTAAAGCAAGAGTCAACAAACTTTTTCTATAAGGAGATAGATAACTATTTTAGGCTTTGGGATCATACAGTCTCTTGGGTTTTTTGTTTGTTTTATTTCTCCTGGTGCTAGGGATTGGAACCAGGACTTCAGATATGCTAGGCAAGTCCCTACCACAGCTACAGCCCGGCCCTCACAAAATCTCTCTTCACTCCACTGCTGTAGTAAAAGCAGCCAGACAACATGTACATGAGAGAGCCTCACCATATTCCAATACAACTTTATTTATGGAGCCTAAAATTTGAATTTCTTTTTTAAAAATATTTATTTAGTTAGTTTTATTGATTTTATTTTTTTAAATACACGACAGTGGAATGTTTTACAATTCTTATTGCACATATAGAGTACAATTTTCCATATCTTTGTATACAGAGTATGTTCCCGCCAATTCATGCGTTTATACATGTACTTTATTTTTGGGGGTTTTTTTTTTGCATTACAATTCTTATTACACATATATACCATAATTTTTCAGATCTCTGTTTATATATAAAGTATGTTGACACCCAATTCGAGTCTTCATATATGTACATATATGTCCATCACATTCCACAGCCCTTGCTAATCCCCTGCCCCCTCCCTTTCCCTCCCACCCCTCTTCCCTGTCTAGATAAAATTTGAATTTCTTATAATTTTCACTTCTCATGAACTGTTATTATGCTGATTTTTAAAAGCCATTTAAAAATACAAAGGACATTCTTAGCTCACAACCATACAAAAGCAGGTGACTGGCTGGATTTTGTCTGGAGGCCACCGTTTGCCAAGCCCACCTTAAAGCAACCACTAAAATCACAAAACAGTGTGATAGCAAATAAGCCAGCAAAAGACATAAAATGGAATAACAAAAACTCCACTTCCAAAAAGTCAGAAAATGAAGAAAAATAAAGATAAGATACACAGAAACATATAATGGCAAGAAATAAATAACCATATCAATAATTAAATTAAGCATAAATGGTTTAAACAGTCCAGTTAAAAAGCAAAGATTTGAGCCAGGCTGGTGGCGCACCCATGCCTGTAATCCCAGCTATCTGGGAGGTTGAGACAGGGTTGCAAATTTGAGGGTAACCTTGGCAATTTAGCAAGATCCTGTCTCAAAACAAACAAATAAATAAATAAATAAATAAATAAAGGGCTAAGGACATAGCTCAGTAGTAGAGTATCCCTGGGTTCAATTCCCAATTTTAAAAAAACCTATAAAATTAAACCCAAAGCACTCAGAAGAAAGGAAATATAAAAAGTCAGAACAGGGACCAATAAAATAGAAACTGAAAAGACAATAGGGAAAATTAATGAAACCAAAGGTGGTTCTTTGAGATCCACTGAGTGCCTCATCCATCAGACACTCCTTGAGTCACTGGGGATGCTACAGTAAACACAACAAAACCCCCAGGTACAGTCCCTTACATAGGACACTTCCACTTCCCAGGCACAGCGCCTTACGTAGGACTCAACCACCCTTCCTTCTGCCTAGAATGTTCTCCTCAGTTTAAAAACTTGTCTCATTTTCCTACCTTTTCCCCAAAGCATTTACTGCCTTTCGACTGAATCTTCCTTTCTTTTTCTGTCTCTCTTTCTTCCTGTCTTTCTAGCAATCTAATTGTCCTACTAAAATACGTAATCCACAGGACATCCATTTTTGTCTCTTTTCCTCACTACTTATCGCTAGTACCTAAAATAGGTCTGCAGTGGTAGCGTGGAACTTACGTTCTCTGAACTTAAGATTTTGGAGATCATTACTTAGAAGACAGGATCATAGATTTTTGGGGCAAGTATTTTGGAAATCAACGTCTAAAAACAAATCAGGAGCTAAGGATCAAAGATCATATTTGGAGGTTAGAGGGCAGAAGGAACCCAAGCCAGAGTTCTAACTAAGGTCTTGGGACTGGGGTCAGGAAGGTTCAAATCGGGCTTGGGGGTCAGTAGGCAGGATGTGGATGCCAGGAGCTAAGAACAGAGCTCCAGAAAGGAAGGTCAGAAATTATTGGGATAGGATGAAAGTAGGAGAGTAAGTTAGAACTTGGGGATTAGGGTCAGGAAGTCCAGCATCGAAGTCAGACTTAAGAGTAAAAGGTTAGGAAGCCACAGGGATCCGAGACTAATGGGAAACCAGACATCGGATCCCAGGGCTCGGTTTGGCAGTCTAGGGTTCACTCACGTGTCTCCATCTTCAGTGACGTAGCCAAAGACGAGGGGCGCCCACGACAGCCCCGGGCCCAGCTCCGCGCCCAACCCTGGTCCTCCGGGAACCGCTGCGTCGGGACCCAGAGAGCCCAGGCCACTATCGCACCATTCATCCGCGTCCGCAGCCTTCCCCAAGCACGCAACCCCGGCCATGGCCCCGGCCACCTCAGGGGCCCCCGCGGCCGCCGGTCTGTCGTTGGGCTCTGCCGGGAGCTCCGGTGCTTCCGCCCTGTGGGGAATTCCCCAACACGCCCCCTCTTTCACCCAATCAGAGCAGGGCAAATCGATCACGCCCTGCCCCCTTACCGTGCTGTGACCAATCAGAGTAGTCAGATGGACTACGCTCTCTAGCCGACCACACATTTTCCGGACGCCCTTTACCAACATGGCTGTCGACTGCCAGGCCCTCTGGGACTCGTAGTCCGGTTCTCGCGCGTTTTCCTTTTTCAAGAGCGGAGCGCGCCACGCGACAGCGCGCATGCTGCCGCGATAGCTCTTGGGAATTGTAGTTCTCTGTCGCATCCCTGCCCCTCCTATTTCCGGTGCCGTCACGGGACAGAGCAGTCGGTGACAGCCCCGAGGGCCCCCGCCCCGCGCCCATGGCCGAGCCGGACCGTGAGTCGGGGGCCCCGGTGGGAGGGTCGGGCCGCGCCGGGGCCTGGCTGAGGGCTGCAGGCCCCGGGGCCCGAGGGCAGGCGCTGTGGGACGGGAGATAGGGGCTGCTTGAGGGGAGTGGGTTCCGATGGCCGTTGCTAGGTGGTCCACGTTACTAGGTCGGTGGACTCCTGGGTCGCGAAGTTTTAAGGGTCCGCTTAGTCCACCCGTTTGTCGAGTTACTAATGATCGCGTGTTTCTCGCCCCTTGGTTGACGGGGACCCCCGTTACTAAGGACATTATGTTGCCGCGGTCCCCGTTGCTAAGGGTACCTGGTGATGGGGCAACTGTAGGATTAGGGTGCCTGGTGTTCCCCCCTATCTCTTCCCTTTAGTTCCGGTGCCTCTCCTAAACCTACACCGCGCCTCTCTCCCAAACCCGTTTCCTAGCCAAGGTATCCCTTCTGGTCTCTCTTCCTCGCCAAACTTTTCTCTGCCTTGAAACTAACTCCTCCCTGCTCACACGCTCACACGGTGGCCTTCCTAACTCCACCTGCGTCTTCCTTCAGCACCCCTACTTCCTGCTCCCTCTTCTCCTAAACCTTCTCCTCCTTGGCCTCTTGGCCCCTCTCTAACCAGCCCTCTGCACTCGAAGGTCTGCTTTGCCCCATCCCCTCCCTCCCTCTACTCCACCTTTACCGCCACCCCTGATTCCAGCATAACTAGGTTGGTGGGTCTTCTTGTCCCAGCCACTGCCACTTTGAACCCCTTCCTTCCCCCTTAACCATTCCCCCCACTGTAACCACCTCTGCTCCCCCTCCTCCCCAGCCTCTGACCCTCTGGAGAACCAGGCAGGGAAGGTGCAGGAGGCTCAGGTGAGATGGGGGAAAGGGTGGAGGGAAGGAGAAAGATGGACTTGTTCCACATCCCAAACCCCCGGGAGGTGGCAGAGGGGAGACAGTGACCCCAGGGCCCTCAGCTCATTATCCCAATCTCCCTCCCCAACTGGTACAGCCTCCTGGGAACTGGTGGCTTCTGGGGATTGTCAGAAAAAAAAAAGTGTGTGTTTCAACCCTAGGACTTCCCTCCAAACTTTACTTTTTCTTTAGTGCACCCACCCCCCACCCCCGTACCCCAGTCTCTTTTGAACCTCCTTTTTTACTCATCTAGTAGACACAAGTATCCAAATCCAATTTGGTTCCTAAACTCACAGATCTCATGGATAAATGACAAGAAAATGATGCTACAAGGTGATTATGAAAGTAGCTTGACACTTTGGGAGCCCAGAGCAAACTTTGTAGGTCACAGAAGATTCCAAAAGAGGCTCTTTTCTGGAGGATCCCACAGGCTGGTCTAGGATTCAGAGTGATATATAGTCACAATGTAACAAGTGAAGAGTAAATTTCGATTATTTATTTATTTATTTATTAGTACCAGGGATTGAATGCCAGAGCGCTTATCTACTGAGCCTTTTTTAATATTTTATTTAGAGACAGGGTCTCACTGAGTTGCTTAGGGCCTCGCTAAGTTTGCTAAGTTGCTGAGACTGGCTTTGAACTCGTGATCCTCCTGTCAAGGAGCCTCCCAAGCCGCTGGGATTACAGACGTGTACCACCATGTGTGGCTTGAATTTCTTAGGAACAGTGGGAAGTGGTGTCCCGCACAGAGGGTACAGCTCATAGAAAGACCTGGGAGCAGGAAAGAGTGTGATGTGCTTGGTGGGTAATTGGGTAGCTGGAGGTGGTCAGCTAATGATAGCCATGGGCAGCATGTATTGACTACTTACTCCAGCTGGGCACTCTGATTAATGCTTTCATGCATCATCTCATTTTAATCTTCCCAGTATTCCTATGAGGAGTAAGGCCTTTTTCCAGGTAGGAAAAAGGCAGAACTGTTGAGTAACTTGTCTTCTGTCCCTTGGTAGAGAAACAGGGAAGGATTTCAAACCCATAATCTCATGGCCCTGGGCACACTGCCCTCTAGATGCTGCAGGAGAGACAGACTGGCCTCTTCACAGATGCTCGAAGGCACCCACCAGCACCTCAGGCCCCCCTACTGGGAAGGTCCCATATCCGACCCCCTACCACAGAGCCTCACTGTCTGCAGCCTGAAAGAATGCCAGCCCAGCCAGACCCTGAGAGCACGCTTCAAATATAAGCAGTGCAGAAGCTGGGATTTCAGTACCCCACAGAGGCACAGCAGAGCCGTGCCGAGAGTGTGACAGCCTCCTGTCAGCCTTGGCATCCCCCTCACCGGGCCCCCACAGCACAACCACTGCCAAAGAAAAAGGTCTTGTGGTAAGAAGGGATCCTCAGTCCCACAGAGATGCGAGGATGTAAATCACAGCATTGTCTACAATAGGGCAAGACTGGAAGCAGCCCAAATGGCTGCCAGGAGACACCTAAAATGAACTATGGTTCATCTGTACAATGCGATGCTGTGTAGCTGCCTGAAAGAATGAGGTGGCTGCATGGTCTGCTGTTCCATGGAAAATGCTAGATGCAGCCTTGTACCATGATAGGACCGGTTTCTGCAAAAATAGTTTCTATATGCAGAGAAAAGAAATTACCATTGAGCTCTCAGTAGTGATTGTATCAAGGGGGGGGGGCAGGAAAATCAAAAGGCAACTGCCCAGGTTATGTGTTTTCTAATGGTCAGAGTTTTTGCAAAGCTTGTGCAATCTTAAAAAGCGATGAAGGGGCTGGGGCTGAGGCCCAGCAGTAGAGGACTTGCCTAGCACTGAAAAAAAAGTGATAATTGTTTTTAAATATGTTTTGAAGGGAGGTTCTTATTCCAAAAACTTGGAACCAGAATAGCGAGTGGCCAGGAAGAGGCATTATCTGAGGGCCCTGAAGCTGAAGACTGAGTTGGTCGAGCTGTGGATTTGTAGATCTGCGGCAGGGTACGGCCCTGGCCTCGCACAGAACAGGCTTGCATTCAATGGTGGATGGTTCCAGAGGCCCTGCTCTGCCGTGCTCTCAGCACCAGGCATTCAGTGGTGAACAAACCAAGTCCCGGCCCCTTTGGAACTGACATCACTGGGGGCTGTGGATGTGTTTGAGTGGCATGACGAGCCTGCAGTCACCAGAGAATCCTCTGAAGCAGGGAGGAATGGGCTGACCCATACAGACGTCACCTGGAGGGTCACGGGTAGTTTGGAGGCAGAGACTAAGACCTGGAGTCTAGGAGGAGGCCAGGGGAGGACCCTGGAGAGAGGACAGGCTGGACCAGGAAGAGCCCTGGGGTGGACAGAAGGGGTCAGTAGAGAGACTCTCAGGAGGCTGAGTGGACAGACCAGGGGCTGCGGGCTGTGGTCAGCAGGCAAGGGTGGGCGGTGGGGGTGACTAAAGACAGTGAGATCCACCCCGGGGGGCCTGGGAGGAAGAGCAGGTTTGGGGGAGATGCTGAGGCCAATTTGGGACACAGAGTGAGGGACGCAGAGGTCACCTAGGGTGAGGCCTCAGGAACCCTGGGTCTGATGATGAGGTGGCATTATCAGTGACTAGGCGAGGCCATTGGTATAGATGTGGCAGTAGCCGAGGGAAAGCCAGGAGGGCCCAGGACAGAGTCCCCGAGCGCAGAGTGAGAGGGGTTCAAGCAGGGGGACCCGGGGGTGGACCCAAGGCCTTCTGCTGGCATTGCCCATGGAAATGACATCCGTGAGCAGGGACAGCGGGCCACACTCCACAGGACAGGGGCATAGGGGAGGCTGTGGATGCCAGGCCTGTGATACAGCAGCAGCCAGCACTTCCATTTCCCGAGCACCCACTGGCGAGGGCTGTGCGGGCACCTCACCTGTGCCAACTCCGTCCATCCTCACGGCAGCCCTGAGCTCCATCTCCACCAGGAGGCACTGAGACCCAGAAAAGTAAAGCCCCTCGCGAGGTCATGCCCACGGAGCAGCAGGCCCAGGGGCCCCTGCCCGCAGCAGCCCGTCCCAGCCTTCATGGTGGCCCCAGCACTAGGCCTCTCCTGCTCCTCCTCCCTCAGGCCACTTCCCCCAGAACCTTCCCCTCAAACCCAGTGTCGCTGCCACGCCCACCCCTCCCTCCCTAACCCACTTCTGGGGCTTGGCCACCCCCACCCCACCCTTCCAGGACTCCGACTCAGACCCTGAAGGAGGAGCTGCTGGCGGAGAAGCAGAGAGTAAGTGTCTTCTTGGAGGGCAGGGAGGGCAGGGCTGTGGAGTTAGGACCAGGGTCCAGGAACACTCCTTGGGGCCACCAGGAGTGACATTCGGAGTTTGTAGAAATGGGCAGAGCAGGGTCTGGAGGCCACTGGCTGGGCCAGGCACTGTGCCTTCAGTGGCGGGGAGGATTGGGGACCCCAGGGCTGGTTCAGGGCCCTGAGGACATCTACACGCCCGGGCTGAATGCCCACCAGCCGCTGTCTCTCTTCTTTTTGGCCAGTGGATTTCCTGCGGAACTTCTTCTCCCAGACCCTGGGCCTGGTCACCCAAAAGGAGCGTCTGCTGGATGAGCTGACCCTGGAAGGGGTGGCCCGCTACATGCAGAGTGAGCGCTGTAAGTCGCGTGTCCCAGCTGGTTGGGCCACTTCTCTCATTCCTGACCGCAAATGACTTCATACCTTTTGTTTATAAATAGTAAGAAGCCCAGTCCTTGGGGCTGGGCTGGG